GGGAGGTGGGCAAGACCCACCTTTTAAAAGGGACTGTAGTGAATGTGCACAGGAGGTGCCTTTCATGGTTGCAGCTGAAGACATAGCCTGTCAGGACCCAAGGACAGGCCAGTACAGATGCCTGAGTACTAAGATTCCTCTCTTTTTATTATAAAAAGGTGAGGAGTTAGAAGGGGTACCAGGTGAGGCTGGGATGAGATTGCTGCGTTCTCGTGGCTACTTCCTGCTTATGGGGAGGTGTTGTTCATCTTTGGGGAACCTGAGAAAGCTGGGGTGCTGGCCATGTCCCGGAGTAGCGGGCTGTTTGATTTCACTGTTCTGGCTCTGTGGAATTGTTAGGCATCACTTGGACTGGCAAAATGCCCTTTGAGGTGGATCCAAGTCTACTTAAAGCACCTGATCCTTTCTCATCACCACAGCCTCACCTGGACACTCTCCTAGTCAATCTACCAGGAAACACGTGGTTAATTACGGAGGGCGTCATTGTAGAGTTAGTATCTCTAGGTGCTGCTGGTTGTCACCACCTGGACCGGTTTGGTAATCTTGTGCTCCAGGTGGGGAAGGTGTGACATGGCTGCCTGAAGTAGATAGATCACATTTTCATCTGCACACAGATGAGAGAATAGAAATAGGATGATGAGTCTTATAAAGCCTTGAGGCCACCCTGAGCGAGGTATAGTCTCAAGCGAGGATCCACTTCCTACGGGTTCCATAATCTTTCAGGACTGCCAGCTGAGGACCAGTGTTCAAATACATGAGCCCATGGAGCAGCTTTCTTCTTATACAACAAATATATACGATTCCTCAGTCAGTGCAGGTGCTGTTAATGAATCCATATTACAAGGTATGCATTTTTAGTGGTTTTCATTGTCTCACCTGTAGAGAGCTTGATGACTGCTAAGTGTTGCTTTTTGATTGACGCAGATTAAAGAGAAATGAATATCATCATTTTCCACTTTGATACTTGAGTTTCCCTGGCGTGTCCTTGGAGTCACAGAAGAATTGATTACACATTTTACCATTAGACTCAAAGGATGGACGTTACCAGTTTGTCCTGTGGTGAGTCCTGTTGTTATTTTTGAGAGAATCTGTTGTAGGTCCCTTCTACCCAGTGTAGAGCCAGAGGTCTACCAGTATGTTGTGGAGTGCTGAGGTAGGCCCTCTAGTGTGTGCTTGGAAACAGACACTGCATAATCCATAACTGATTTTTGTCATAGGCAAACTAGAGTTATATTTCTTAGAACTTACTTTTCTTTGGCTTTAAAGCAAAACTGTTGTATTTTTCTTGGTGGGCAAGGCAGTTCACCATTGCATCTTCTTGCTGTAATAATTGCTGCTGTGGCATTGTAGGTTACTAGGGTTATATTTGCAAGTTATCTGAGTGAACTGAGTTATGTATTAATTGCAAACAGATGAACTCCCATCCTCACCGTGAATGTGGGCTTTTTTTCTTGTTTTCAACTTTACTGAAGCATGGTAAACAAAAATTCTATATATCCAAGGAATGCACCGTGATATGTTAGTTTGTGCTGTGAAATGACCCCACTGGCAGACTACTGAATGTAGTATTTATACCTCATAGTTAGCATTTGCAGTGGGAGAGAGGGGTGGAAATAAGTTCGTTTAAGATCTATTATTTCATAGAGTAAAACTATTTTTAAAATTACAACAGAAAATGTGATTAAAATCAGAATTTTCCTTTATCCACACTGCTCGAAGTAAACGTCATTCACATTTTGGTAGCTTTTGTACAGTTACATACAAAGGCACAAATGCTTTTTTTCAAAATTGATAGATGCTATCTATACAGATTTATGGCTTTTTGGCCATCAGTTTATACACTGAGAAATTTTGATGTCCTTGAAAAGTCAGCTATGATATACGAAATAGTGGTAGAAAAGATTTTCTGGAGATATTATCCAGAAATGAAAGGATGTGAAATGAATTATTTTGCATATGCTTCCAGACTTCCCTCTCCCTCTCTAATTCTCTTTCCCGCTTCTCACTCTCTCTGAATGTGGGCTTTTTGGCAGCTTTGGATTGTATCTTTTTCCAGGAAGTCCTCTTTCTGGGGCCCAGGTCTGCAGCCAAGGAGAAGAAACAGGGGGGGAAAGCACACTGGATGATTGCCTGAAAACCTGTAATAAGGTATGAAGACTAACCTCATTGCATATGGAGGTGTACATCTTTCCATGCAGACCAGTTTGTCTCCAGGGATTACCAAAGAGAATAATGCCCCTGACAAGGGCTAATTATCATAGGAGAGGAACTTTTTCACACTGCTGTAATTGTATTAGTATAGTGTTTTTTGTGATGCCAAATGCCAGGTGCTTTTAAAATTTTTTAATATATAATAATATATATTAAAAATAATAAGAAAGTGAAAGTTTCATTTTTTCTCAAAGACTTTGTTTTTCATATTTACCTCATTTATACAGTATGTCCAGGAGTATTATTAAGAAAGAAGGAAGATGAGAGAGGCCAGTGTGTGGTGAGGTGAAAACGTTTGGAACGTGTCATTAAGGTTCCATGGTTAGAGTAAATGGACAGAGTGAGGTGTGAATACAGAGGAGCCTACCTAGGACCCTCAAGCCCCATGGTAGGCAGTGGGAGAACTTGCAGCTCTCTCTGGTCATTGGGTTCCCCATCCCTAGTCTCCTGAGAGGATTGGTGGGGATATTAACTTGGTTGAAGCAGGCATTTTTGGGTGGTTAAGGATTTGGTGACCTTTCAGGGTGAGGCTGTGGATTTCACTCAAGAGGAGCGGACTACGAAGGATCCAACTCAGAAGAGCATACCTAGTGGTGTGACAGTGGGGGACTCTACAAAGCTGGCCTCTGTAGGTAAGCTGGTAGTTATTCTCGTATCCCAGATGCTTCCTTCATGTGGAGCTGACACATGGACTTAGTGTGTTTAGGATCTTTGTCAAATACATGATAACAGTGATAGCAGTTTCTCTTCTAATATATTTAAACATATGATATTAGTTTTATGGGGATGCATAGCAAATTTCAGTGCCTTGTAAATGCTGTCTGTGTGCTTCATTACTGTGCTGCATGCCTAGCACACTAGCTATTTCTTTTTCTTTAAAATTTAGGCTGGTAATGGATGTGTACTTTTAATCCCAGCACCTAGGAGGCAGAGTCAGGTGGATCTCTGTGAGTTCGAGGCCAGCCTGGTCTACAGAGTGAGTTTCAGGACAACCCAGGGGTACTCAGAGGAACTCTGTCTAGAAAAACAAAACCAAAAGGTTTATTTTTATTTATTGCTTTGTGTGAGTGCAGGTGCACATGTGCCAACAGCGCCCCTGTGGAAATCAGAGAGCTGCTCACAGGGAGTCAGTTCTATGCTCCACCTCGTGAAAGGAGGTTCATTCTCATTTCTGCCACCGCACTTCTGGCCAGTTCTCCTGTTTCTGCCTCTCATTTCACTGCAGGAGTGCTGGATTGGGATTACAGCTGTGTACCATTGCTCCTAACTTCTTAGTATTTGGTGTACTAGTCTTGTCGCTGTAATAAAACAGAGTAAATAAGCAACTTGGGGAGGAAAAGGTTTATTTGGCTTAAGGTTATAGTCCATTATCAAGGGATGTCAAGGCAGGAACCTATAGGCAGACCCTGAAACAAAAACCATGGAGGAACACTGCCTTACTTCATTTGGCTTGCTTGTCTACTTTTCTTATACAGATCTTGATGTGGGAGTGATTTCTTATTAATAAAGAAACTGCCTAGGCCCATTTGATAGGCCAACCCTTAGGTAGGCGGAGTAGACAGAAGAGAATGCTGGGAAAAAGAAGCTGAATCAGGGAGTCGCCATGATTCTCCCACGCCAGACAGACGCAGGTTAAGATCCTCCCTGGTAAGCCAGCTCGTGGGCTACACAGAATATTAGAAATGGGTTAGAACAATATGAAAGAGCTAACCAATAAGAAACTGGAACTAGCCGGGCCAGGCAGTGTTTGAAAGAATACAGTTTCCGTGTAATTATTTCTGGGCATAAGCTAGCCATGCGGGCGGCCGGGTGCCGGGGAAGCAGCCCTGCCGCTCCTTCAACAAGATCTGGCCCTTTTGTATCAATTAGCAATCAAATAAAAGTTCTGCAAACATGCTCATAGGCTAATCTGATGGAGGTAATTCTTCAGTTGAGGTTCCCTCTTCCCAAATGTGATGTTGTCAGTCAAGATGCGGATTCTGCATATTGAACTAAGGTTGTCAGTGTTCTGTGGGAAACTTTTAACCTGATGAATTATCTCATGGTGGTATTTCTTAAAATGTGGATCATCTAGTTCTGTTGAAATGTATGTTTATATTTCCACCTTTGATACATTGGATAATAATTTCTAGTTAGTATTCTATTTGTCTTTATCTGAATTAGATGTTCTATAATACTTATAAAGTTAAAGTTAATTGTTTATTGCCTAGGATTTATTTTTGTCTGTTTGATTAAAATGCTAGAGCATCAGAAATGTGAATATGAAATTGATTTGTATTTCAGTAGTCAGAGATTCTTGGGATCATGGAATAAGGCTTTGTCTTTTTAATCTTTCTGAAATAATTAACTGCTTTTATTAGAATTGTAGACCAAAAGCTGCATTTGATTGTGCCTGCCTGTAATCCCAGTAGATTTATAGGTTTGAGGGGCTAGTCTGGGCTACATGAGACCTTGTATTGGGAAAAAAATGTATTATAGACCTGAATCATAGAAAAGTTTGCCATCTCTTCCATTAATGCAACTTTGTCTATGTATAGGATGTCAGACACTTACCAAGCCCAGTGCTTTGACTTGCTTGACAAAAGAATTGGTAACCGCACAGAGAGTTCTTCAAGGTGAATGTTTGTGAAGAATAATATTGATCAGTGGCATACGTCATTATTAACTCTCCTTTTTGTCTTTCCCAAAATTCTGTGATCTCATGGAATAGCATTTTATGATTAAGTTAATTGCTTTTTGCTTTTACTTGTTTCTTTCTTTCTTTTTTTTTTTTTTTTTTTTTTGAGTTACTGTGTATCCCAGACTGACCTGGAACTTACTTTGTACACTAGGCTGGTCTTGAACTCAGAGACTCACTGTCTGCCTCCTGGAGTGCCAAGCTCATTGTTTTATTTACTTTTCTTTTTTTATCTGTCTGTCTCTCTATGTTGTTTGTATGTGTGCTGTGGTAGAACAGTTTCGTTTCAGTTATATATCCTGGGATTTGCCTCAAATGCTTCTCCTTCTCTTTCTTTTTTCATTATGGTATAGTTTTAAATAGTTGATTCTCCAGCCTTAGATTTGTGTGTGCTGGGATTGCATCATCATACCACGCTGTACTTTGATGATATTTCTTCCTTTTTCTCTCTGGTGATGTTTTTGTTTTATTACCACCACATATTAATTTTGACAGAATTAATATTTAGCGAATTTTCCTCTAAATCTCCATTTTGCTTATCAGGTTTATTTAAAAAACCATGGAGACATTTTTAACTTCTTTGCTATACTGTTCTATTATTTATATCTAATCTTATTTTGTGGGTTTAATTCCAGAATTGGAAAAACATCTACAAACCAAAGATTTAACACTAGAGCAAGGTTTTTTGACAAGACATACCTTCATGGAGACACAGCAGGTGGTAAGTTCAATAAAAAGTGTATTTCCTATTTTATGTACTTAGCCAAGATTGGCAGCTTTTTTAAAATCTGAAGTTAATATGAAACTGGCCTAGAAGACATTTTCTCATAGGTAGACTTGGCTTCATAGCAAACCAAAAACCCATGGCATGACAAATCCCTGGTTGAATTTTCCCCAAAGGCACGTGTCTTATTTAGGTGAGGGAATACCTTGAAAATTATCTCCATATTTTAGTAATCATGTGTCTTGAGTTCGGTTAGTGGTGAGATATTTATTATTTTATGTGTTCTGACAAATGATAACAATGAAAATCTCCCTTTTAAAGCAGTAAATTCACTTGTAATGACATAACAATTTGAAATGTCTTGGGAGTGTGTCCCACTTCCATGAGTATACAATCTGTACAGAGTGAGTGTGGATAGAGAGATGTTCTGGAAATACTGAGACTTGAGACAGGTTATCGGGACCTTAGACTTCTATATATATATATATGTTACTTCCACTTTCAGGATGCAGTGACCTTTGAAGATGTGTCTGTGGACTTTACCCAGGAAGAGTGGACTTCACTGGATCCAATTCAGAGAAGCCTCTACAGAGACGTGATGCTGGAGAACTACCAGAACCTGGCCACAGTAGGTGAGACTGCCAACATTTGTTCTAGCTTCATAAACTAACAGAAATAAATAGTGTTCTAGAATGTGATGTCAGCTCAGAGAACAGTGGGAAATAACAGATTAAATCCCTTTCTTAATATAATTATTCCATCATGGTAGTTCTCAACCAAATGGTGGTTAGTAGCATAACTATTACTATACTAATAGTGTTATTTTGAGATTCTTTCTCCTTTTGACTTGTTTTGTATTATGGCAGGGTCTTACTCTATAGCTCAGACTGGCTTTAAGCTGTCAGTATTCTATCTCAGGCTTCTGAGAGCTGGAATTACAGATGTGTGCTATCAAACAGGGTTGTTGTTTTGATTTAGCAATCTTTATGAATCTATTTTTAAAGATAAGATAAAGATTATTTTTTCCATGTATGTTTCTTTGTGGTAGAGTGCTTGTTTAGACATATGTGGCTTTGGGTTTGATCTGTGTCCCTGGGGAGTAGCGGTAGTAGTGACTTTATAACACTTTCATTACTTTTACTAGATCTTATTGGAAGAAATAGTTTAGTGCATTTTATTTTACATTATTTTAAAACATAGACTTTTCATTAATAATGAAGTCATAGGAATATTACACGTCATTAATTAGTATTTATTTATTGGCAGTAGTGGGGATTGAACTTGGGACCTTGTACAGTTTAGGCAAGTGCTCTACTACTGAACTATATCCTCAGCCATTTTTTGGTATCTCACTAGTTAGCCCTGTAGCCATGACTGGCCTGAAAGTCGTGACCTTTTTGCCTCAGGCTTGTGAATGCTGAGATTACATGTAGAGATTACATGTATCCATCAACAGACTTGGTCCTCACTGGTGTTTCTTAAATGTGCATTTAGTTATGAATGGATTTGGTGGGTCACAGAAAACTTCTTGTATTCAATAGCATAAACATTTGTATTTTGAGTTGTTAATAATTTTAAGTATTTCTTGAGAAATGTAGCTTTCTGTCATTGTGGAGTATGTCTGAGACTCCAGTGATGTATCTGTCTCTGTTTAGGAGGTCAGTTGTTCAAACCCAGCCTTATCTCTTGGTTGGAGCAGAAAGTAGAGTTGACAGTAATGGAGCAAGGAATTCTCCAAGGTTAGTATCTGCTGAAAACATTGCTTGTTATTGTCAAGTTCTGTATGTTTGGAAGTGTGTCAAAGGAACTGTTAGAAGATCACCTTGAATCTGAAGACTGAGGTCCTTGGAACACAGTTTTAATAGGAAGAGCTAACGTATGGCATCTGTGATGTACCGCTTTCCCCCTTTTCTCTGATTATTCTATTTACCATCCCATTTAATTTTAATAGAAAAATTTGTTAATTACTATTTCTCTGACACTATATCCTATGCTGGTCAAATTTTAGACTTAGATTCTTTAATCTTTCTTTGCTTTATTGTTTAATATGTTTTAATATGAAAGAAAACATAAATGAAGTTCTGGCCTGGAACTCAACTTTATAGACTAGACTGGCCTTGAACTCATATCTGCTTGCTTCTGCCTCCTAATGGTGTGCACTACCACACCTGGCCACATAATGTAGGTTTTTGCCTCTTTTTAAAAATGTAACCTTTCATTTGTTGTGCAAATTCTTATATATATATATTTTCTGGTTTCACTTTAGAATGGGAAATGCACCTTAAGACAAAAGGGACAGCACTTGAGGAGGATATATTTTGGTCAGATAGGTCAAATGGAAAGCAACTGGTAAGACTCACAAATGAAATTTACTTTTATGTTTATGGGTGCTTTGTCTGTGTATCATGTATATTTCTGGTGGCCTTGGAGAACAGACTAGGGAGGGCATCTGATTCCCTGGAACTGAAGTTATAGACAGCTGTGACCACGTGGGTGCTGGGAAACTAACCTGGGTTCTTTGGAAGAGCAGCAAGTGCTTTTTACCTGAGGCAGCTCTCCAGCCCCAGAATATTTCTCTTCTCTTCTCTTCTCTTCTCTTCTCTTCTCTTCTCTTCTCTTCTCTTCTCTTCTCTTCTCTTCTCTTCTCTTCTCTTCTCTTCTCTTCTC